CTAGCTGTTGGTTGACAGATTCTCGAACTGCCAATCATCAAAACAACACCCAATTAATAATTGGGTTCCACTACATAACCATAAATCTACACTTGGGGTAAATGGACCATTTTACCCCTAACCTAGCTTGGTTCAAAACCAAGGTCCAAACACACATTCTGAAAGCCCAAAAACCAAATAATCAACAAGGCCCATCATATGGCCCAATTCTCTACATGGGCTAATCTTAATGCCCAACCATTTATTCTAGTCCACACACTTGGCAATCTGATGGCCCAACATAATCATCAAGGCCCAATTATGGCCCAATTTTCCAAATTAGGCCCAAGCCTTTCCAATGGGCCTTATCCTAAAGCCCAATAATTTCCTTAGTCCACAAACTTGTTCCCATTTGGCCCACAAAGTCCCACAACAAGTTAGTCCAAAAAATGGCCCAATAAGAACCCAAACCTAATTAGGGTTTTTCACATAAAATGACGATTAGGGTTAAGTGTTCCTACTTAACCCATTAAGGACTTAATCCATTAAGTCCACCACTCCACTAGTCCAAACATACAATGTGGTCTGGTGTAATTCAAAATTCCAAATCCAATGGTCCAAACGTGGGTCCCGACAAATCCAAAACTCACATTCCCAAAATTAGGGTTTTCTAAACCCTAATTAGGGTTTCCAACCCCATCGTGTGCCAATTAGTCAATTGGTTAGGTTTTTAGAGGTTAATTAATTATTAATTAAGTTGGGCACCACCCAGTACCACCTCGGGTAGTGGTGCTCAATGGCGGCTCACGGCGGCAGCCACCACCTCACGGTGGTGGTATGAATTTCCTTGATTATTCCGGTCAAAATACACTATTACAATGTAATATCCAAATGAATGCACACACACAAATAACACATACACACACCCAGCCACCCTTGTGGCGGCAGGCGGTGGTTGGAGGTGGCAGCCACCACCTCACGGTGGTGGTGGTGGTGGCTTTTCTCGTGAAATATGGCCAAGAAACACCACACACAACACACACTCATAGCAGAAATACACACAAACACACCAAAACACGCACACCGCCACCACCACACGGCGGCTGGTGGTGGCAGAACAGTGAGCATTCATGAGGGCAGCAAGATAACGACCACCATGGTGGGCTGCCACGGTGGTTCCCATAATGTTTCCGGTCAATAGAGAGAGCATCCACATACGTATTCGGCTAGCAGAAACCACCCGCCTGAACAAGGCCGCTGAACGCGCATCCACGCAGCCACAACTGGTGGCAGACGGCAACCGGAGTGCTTAAGAAGTTTGTCGCTTGGAGTTGCGGTGGCGACGGACGTGGCTGAGCGTAGCGAGCGAGGATCCGAGAAGAAGTACCACCGCGAATGACCACAGCAGCAGCAGAAGAAGAAGAATATGGTGGTCCTTATGGTTGCACACACGTCGCCGACAGCAGCGGCTGTTGAAGGAGAAGAAGAAGAACGGTCCTTAGAGTAGGTTTCTCGACGGTGGTTGTTTGGTGGCCGCTAACTGATCGGAAAACGGGTTACATGGACGGTGGCGGCTGGAGGACTCCCCGACGATGGCGACTGACTAACCTAGGGTTAGGGTTTGGAGAAGGTGACGGGTTTATACCCGATCATATGAGATCTTTGGCCATAATCCGCTTTTTAGTCCCTCCCTCAAAATTCTTTTCAACTTAAACCCATTATTTACCAAATAACCCCCGTCTTTAATAATTCCTTACAATTCAAGTCCCAGAAGTTACCATTTAACCCTCAACATTCCAAAATCCTTTCAATTTAAGTCCAATATTTTACCAAACATCCCCTGACTTCTGAAAATCTTTACAAAGTAAATTCTGGAAATACACTTTAACCCCCGAAAGTCCAAATTATATCATTTGGCTCCCCGAAACCAACTCTCCGCTAAATATTATTGATTTTGGCTATAAAATAATAATAATAATTACATATCGGGGCTTTAGAGTTTATTATTCATTTAATTAATTTGAAACGGAATGTTATAGTATTTGTGTATGTGTATCTACATGTATTTAAAAGAAACAAAATAGTTTGTTAGTGAAACTGTAACCATTACAATGTTAAACAATGAAACGAGTAATGGATCCCGAAGATGCACACGACTTTATGAACGATATTAATAGCTATAAGTTGGTGAAATTATAGATAATGATGTATAATAGATGTGTGAAAAAAACGAAGCAGAAAAAACGACGTTCTATGCCCGAAAATACGAAAATAAGAAAAATCCGTATCTAATCCGTAGGTAATTACCTACGGATTAGCTACGGATTTTTCTTATTTTCGTATTTTCGGGCACCGAACGTCGTTTTTTCCGCTTCGTTTTTTTCACACATCTATTATACATCATTATCTATACTTTCACCAACTTATAGCTATTAATATCTTTCATAAAGTCATGTGCATCTTCGGGATCCATTACTCGTTTCATTGTTTAACATTGTAATGGTTACACATACACATACATATACACACACACATACACATACACATACATATACACACACGTACATATACATACACATACACATACACATTCAAATACATACATACACATACATATACACACATACATATACATAAGCACACATATACATACTTATACAAATATACATATTTCCCCTAATTATCATTTTTTTTCATTATTTAATTTATACATTAAATGTATATTATTTCACCTTGTTGATGTGTTAAATGTAGTTTTTTTTCTTCGATTGTTCGTTTGTTTTTGTGTTAAACACATTTGTTACCATTATTATATATTATCATTATGTTTATAAATATTATTATTATTAGGACTATTAGTATGATTTTTAATTGTTTGTGTTTTAAATATGTAAAAACAAAACGATCAAAAAAAAGTTTTAAGACTCGAATAATTAAATAATAATAATAATAATAGTAATAATAATAATAATAATAATAATAATAATCGAAAAAGGAAAGTATATAAAAGTAATAGGAGACTAATTGAGTAAGGATATGGCATACCCGGCTGGATGGTAAATATATTGGTTAATTACGTCTGATATCCGAGTTCGGCTCCTACCCCAAACCCATTTTTCTTTATTTTCTACATAAAAGTAATCGGAGTCTATTCTAATAAGGATGTGGAATACCCGGCCGTTTGGTAAGATTGTGGGTTATAGAGTTTTTGACGATAATAGGGTGATTGAAAAAAAAAAATTAAACATTTAGTGTTCTTTAAAAAATATTTACCAAAATGGTATGTTTTTTTCATTTTTCTTTACTTTTCAATTTTTTTTATTTTAAATATCCTATTTTTCTCCCTTTCTATTTTTCTCCCTTTCTCTTTTCTTCCACCTTTTTCATAATTCTCGACGGTTGGAGAACGTCAAGCGATTAATCTACGATTAATCTCCGATTTCTGCAACCATGATATATAGATATATATATATATATATATATATATATATATATATATATATATATATTATCATGTTTGCAGAAATCGGAATTAATCGTAGATTAATCGTTTGACGTTCTCCAACCGTCGAGGATTATGGTATTAATCGGAAATTTAGGATTAATCGGGTTTGGCGGGATTAATCAGTCTTGGTGGGATTAATCGGTCAAAAAAAGTCAACAAAAGTCAAAAAGGTCTAAAAATATTCTAAAAAGGCCTAAAAAAAATTTAAAAAAAAATTCAAAAAATCAAAAAAAATGTCACTCCAAAGTTTTCAAGTTTTCAAATTTTCAAATACTATACCAAATGTTCATATTTTCGTATTTTCAAATTTTCAAATTTCAAATTTTCTTATTTTCTAATTTTGAAGTAGTTTTTTTTCTTAAGATATATTAATATTTGATTAATTTTAATATTTTATTAATAATCTATGGTCCCCGATTAATCTTTGATTAATCACCGCCAATACCGATTAATCCCTTAACACCAGTCGACCGTCGAGTTACCGTCGAGCGATTTTTACAATCTTGATATATATATATATATATATATATATATAATATATAGATATTATATATTATATATATATATATATATATATATATATATATATATAACAGTTTTTATTTCAGTTTGTTTACCTATTTTTACTGTTTTTTTAAATAAAAGTTTTTTTTGTTTTTTATTTTAAATATCCGTTTTTTCTTATACAAACCTTTGACCATCAAAGTTTAGCTAACATAAATTAAAAATACAATATCTTTTAAGGTGCAAAAACTCCAACATTCACATACAATGTTTTTAAGGTAAAAGAAACTCAACATTGTTTGTTACAAAAAAAAAACACACCATAAAAGTTTCCAACATTGTTTGTTACAACAAGAAAAACATCACAATTAGCTTGAACTTGAACCGGTAACAAATCCTTACCTCTAAAAAAGAAAGAAAAAAAATAAAAGAATAACCACAACAAATACCATAAAAAATATTTTCTTTTTAATTACCTTGGCATAGATGGACATTGTTTTCGATTATGCCCCGGTTGCCTACAATTTCCACAAAGATTGGCATTTCTTCCTTCTTTAATATCCATACCATTTTTTAGTCTTGTTGAACAATACAACCTTTTTTATTTCGTAATAGTTCTAAATTTGGAAGTAATTCATTAAATGGTGATTGTGGCCAATACGGTTCATGGGGAAGCGGGAGAACTCAGATGCCCAAGTAGCACAATAGTATTCAATCGAGTAACATTTATCAACATATTGCCAAATATTCAATTAGAGTTTGGCACATGCACTCAAGACATGAGAACAATGATATTTAAATGCCTCCTATTTACCACATATGCAAGTTTTTTGTTCCAAATTAACTACTTGCACATTTCGACCTCTTTGTGTTATCAACTCAAATATACCTTTTTCTCGATTAAAAGATCTTAAGGAATGTGCACTTGCTTTTGCCATCAAAGCTACTTGTTTTACAACATGTGGAGTATGTGCATCTCAATTAGCTTGAGAAGTAAATCCTAAAAGACGTCTCACCTCAAAATAATGCACCATTCTATAGAATGTAAGTTGCACAAAAGCTGTGATTGGTAAAAAAAACGAGCACCTTTAAGTACACTGTTGAAAATCTCTAACAAATTTGTTGTGACCAACCCATATCTTCTTCCACCATCATGTGCAAGTGTCCATCTATTAAGTGGATGGCTCTCCAACCATTGTCGAACACGTTGATTTTGCTTCCTAATTTCTTCCATGATGGAGTTGAACTTTCGAATTTGATTCTCACTCCCGGCACGATAAGCTAAAGCTTTCAATTCTGAATTAAGAAACTTTTCATAAAATTTGTTGATGAAATGTCGTAAACAATACCTTTAAAATAAAAAAAAATGTAATTTAAGGAAGCCAGTTATTGAAATGTCATAAAGAATACTTAAGAAATATAACAATACCTATGAAACCACGCGACTCTAACGATGGAGACCCATGCTCATTGACAGCCTTAAGAATTCCACCATGACGATCAGATATTAGACATATGCCTTCATGGTCTTTCACCACATGATTCTTGACATGAGAAAGAAACAAATCCCAAGTATCATAAGATTCATTTTCTACAATAGCAAATGCAAGTGGAAAAATTTGATTATTACCATCAACTCTCATTGCAATCAGCATCTTACCCTTGTACATACCATACAAGTTTGTGCCATCAATGCTAATCACCGGTCAACAATAGTGAAATCCTTTGATAGAGGGAGCAGAAGCCCAAAAAACACGCCTAAATTCAATTTCATCCACATCGGTCGATCTTGAAACACACCATTCAACTATAATTCCTGGATTGAACTTTTGAAGTGTGCCTAGATATTTTGGTAAAGCGACATAAGACTCTTCCTAGTTTCCAAACACATGTTCAATTGCTATGAAATATAACAATACCTATGAAAACCACGCGACTCTAACCATCGAGATCCATGCTCATTGACAGCCTTAAGAATTCCACCATGACGATCATATATTAGACATATGCCTTCACGGTCTTTCACCACATGATTCTTGACATGAGAAAGAAACCAATCCCAAGTATCATAAGATTCATTTTCTACAATAGCAAATGCAAGTGGCAAAATTTGATTATTACCATCAACTATCATTGTAATCAGCATCTTACCCTTGTACTTACTATACAAGTTTGTGCCATCAATTCTAATCACCGGTCGACAATAGTGAAACCCTTAGATAGAGGGAGAAAAAGCCAAAAAAACATGCCTAAATTCAACTTCATCCACATCGGTCGATCTTGAAACACACCATTCAACTATAGTTATTAGATTAAACTTTTGAAGTGTGCCTATATATTTTGGTAAAGCGACCTAAGACTCTTCCCAGTTTCCAAACACATGTTCAATTGATTTTTTCTTTCCAACCCAAACCTTCTTATATGAAGGAGTATAGCCCAATGTTTCAACTATTTCAGCTCTCAAATCAAGAATATTGATAGAAGGTTGCTCTTTTATAAGGTGCCTAGTTTCCATAGCAATCACGCTTGCATCTAGGTTTGGATGGTCTAGAGAAAGCTTATAGTGTAAACAAATATGCGGACTAGTATACGTTGTGATATCAAAATAACCACTACATATACGTTTACTTGCATGAAGTTTCCATTTGCAACTAGATTGTAAGTATAACTTGAATCTTAGAGTCCAAATAGTTGGGCGTGACTCAATAACCTCAAATTGTCTATGTGTCCTAATGCTATGGATCTTGACTGCTCTAACAAGTTCCTCTTTATCCTTGAAAGAATCTTTTCCCAACTTTCGCGTAAAATCATTTTTATTCGTTGATTGTGTCATAATCCAATTGTCATCAATAGTCAAATTTTTTCCTTCCATATTAGTAAAAGTTGAAGGTACTTCAACATTATTGTCAAAAGATGCTTCCTCATCATCTTCATCTCCAATTCCATCTTCCAATATTTCATTTAACTCAACTTCATTGTCTATATTCATCACATTCATCTTGAGAGATTATAGAAAAATCCTCATTATCAATCATGTATATAATAAAATTCATCTACAAAACAAACAAAAACAAGCAAAACATGATCATACCTATTCGTGCTAACAAGAAAAAATAAACATAATGAGCAGGAAGAATCAAAATCGGAATGGAGAAGCAAAACTGAAAATCGAAGAATCAAAATAGAAAACTAAATTATCAAAATCGGATAAAATGTCTTCTTAAAAAAGAAACATAATGAGCAGGAAGAATCAAAATAGAAAACTGAAAAATCAGAATCGAGAAGCAACAATTCGATAATAGAGAAGCAAAAAACTTAAACTAGAAAATGAGCAGGAAGAATCAAAATCGACAACAACTTTGCATACCTTGAATGGAGTGATGGCTGGAGGAGGTCGCAGGTCGTCGGCGAGGGGCGGAGGAGGCCGCAGGTGGCCGACGATGGTGGAGGTGCGACAATGAGTGGAGCCCTTGTTTGTGTTTACGATTTGTTTTCTTTTCTGTTCGACAACGTTCCAGCCTTCCAGGATATTAAAAAAAACGTGTTTTTTTTAAGACAATAATATTAGTTTTCAAATTAAAGTAATACCATTTTGGTAAATATTTTTGAAAGAACACTAAAATGGTAAATATTTTTTCAATCACTCTATTATGGTAAAAAACTTTGGGTTATATCTGTGCGAGCCGCGAGTTCGATTCCTGCTCCAACCATTTTTTTTTTTTTTGCCGTAGCTACGCCGTAGGTATCCTTGTAAATGAAAAATGTGTCC